AATTGTTGCATGCACCTTCCAGCACTCGATGTCGCTGTTGCAACTTTCAAGGCACCCGATCCGTTCCGAGTTCATCGTCGCCGTGCTTTGGTAATAAGAAACACCCGCACGGTGAGCTCTTGTCTATCTTGTCTGTTAGCTTCTCCGGTTGTTGATGCTATTACTTCTCATCACGTACAGTAACCATGGAGATTCTATCCACGTACGTGATTTACATGCTGAATATTTGTCAACGCCAATCTACCGATCTCCATCCTCATGACTGCCATTGCTCCAGTGATGCAGCATCGCCGATCAGTTGGAGGAGCCCGCTTGTGAAACCCGATCTCACCGCTCTCTGCTTCAACGCCGACATCACTGTTCCTCGTCTGGCATCAGTGAGGACCTCCGCACGCCTCTGGTCATCCCCGATGTTGAGGCATATATCTGGCTAGGTGTCTCTTTAATGCCTTTGCCCTATTGCTTTACATCAGCTAAATATAATACTCTGCTGATGTCATCCCTTCATCATACGCGTGCAATATTTTGGTTTTCTTTTTTGACAGCTAGAATTTCATTTGTCGGTATATTCATCGCGTGCACAAGGCCTTATCTCATCTTGCATATAATTAGCAAAGCTCCTGTGTAGATAATACCGTTTTAGCTCTTGCATCTTAAATCTTCCACCGTTTTATCATCCAAACCCTGATTAGGTTTGTTCAAGTTGCGTTAGTTTTGTATTGTCGTGCTCTACGCGGTAGTGCCAATGTTTTTCATGTCAACATGTTTTTCCATATATATCTAAATATTAAATTGATTAGTATATTTGCACACTAGTTTTGAATTAAAAGCAATATGGGTGCTTAACCTTGATAATTTATACCTAAAAGTTAATATGATTAATTGTTAACTTGAAAGTGTTTCTAGAATATAATTTGATTAGCTGAACAAGATACATATATGATAAGTACGAGTAGATGCTCTCACATGCTTATTTCCTTTGCGAAGATAAAGTTTAATTTGTTTAATAAATTATGTGATGACATTTATAAATAAAGCATGATTAGCTTTAACTCGACTTTTAAAACTAAATATGTTGTGATTAATCTAAATTAATATTGCTCATATAGTTTTCTTAGCTAACATAAAACAAGCTCGTAGTTGTTTCTTTTATAATATAGTATAATATAAATCTTTTGATAGTGGTTTTCTTTTAACTGTAGCTCCTTTCTTAGTGTCTCTTGCGTTCTCGTAACCGTAGCAATGAGCCGTCTCTTTTAGCACGCTGTTTTCAAGCCTTTTGCCTATTGGTGTATTGTTCTTAGTCTACGTTGTTTGCTTGTATGTTTGCTCGAGTTGCTTGGTGTTTGCTACGGGTAGAAAGAGAACCGTACGTGAGCGCTGGAGACTAGAAGCTGTAGAATAGAAGACCAAAGGATCTTTGAGGAGTTGGCTATATTGACTAAAAAACAAGTTCAAGGCAAGTATAGCATGAGATCTTCCTTGTTGTCCTATACACCTTTAATCATTTTAATTCATACTGCATGTGTCTATCTTGGCAACCGTAGTAATTTTCCTAGCTATTTGATATCCTGGATTACTTGATACCTTTGGGGTATTGCATTGGGTAGTGTGATGCTAGTGCTCAATTAAAGACCGTGATCTCGTAACTTGACTAATGGAATATGCAATAAACATTAAAAGATACTTTTTAGCAACATGGAACAAGGGGCTAGAGCATTGGGCTATTTTTATGATGCTCTAGATTCCACTCCCTAAGGACTTATCTGTAAGTGATCATCTGTGACTTACAGTACAGCTGTGAGGGCTACATGGCTCTGGCTTTAGCTAAGTATGATGACCTTTTCTAGCTTGTTAGAGGTTACCTTTATTGGCGTAAGAATGGCTTGACGAATCGGGTATAGGACAGCCTCTACTCTTATGTGTATAGCCGTGAGGGAATTGTGCCATTTGACAGGAGGGTTCCTATATCTGTTTGTCGAGTGAATCTAATGGCTATAACTTATTAGACGAACCTTTGAAAAGCTTCATAGTAAACCCTATCGACCTTCCTTGGAAGTGGGTCAAGAGATTAGCTACCTCGGGCGAAAGGGTAAATCACAACTCACAGTGAAAGTGTACAACCTCTGAAGAGTGTAAAACTGGTATATTAGCCGTGCTCACGGTCAAGAGCGGCCTTGGAACATTTATGAAATAGATGATCACTAATGGTTAATGATGATGAACACGGATGATACTAATGATAAATATGCTCATTAATGATTACTGTTTATGCTATTCATTATTCATGTTTACCTGATCATGTGTTTACGGGCTTATGATAAACTTGTTGCTACTCAATTGCTAAAATCATGACTCATTAAAAGCTAATCGCAGTTAAACCAGTGTCGACCTTTTAAGGCCTCATGAACCACATGTTATATTTGTTGAGTACGACATGTACTTACGCTTGCTTTACTTTTTAAATCTTTAGAAAAATATCGGATAGGTACAAGATTGCTAGAGTTTGGAGGAATTAGATTTGTGATCAACCAGTCAGTTGTCCCTGTGGAATTAGATTATTCACCCGAAGATCGGAGTTATCGTTCCACTGTTTGCTATCTAAGATTATAGTCTTTACACTAATATGCTATGTATTTAAGCATTGTCTTTTGATATTACCCTTATTTGTAGCTATATGTGAGATTTGACTTCCTGGGCTCACATATGGTGCATATCTGGTTTTGTTCTTAAAATCGGGTGCTACATTTATATATTGCATTTTTATTGTAAGAAAGTGAGTTGAAGAGTGTGGTATAAGTTGAAGAGTAGAATTATAGCATAGTGGTCTATAAAATCCATTTCTATCTCTCATCCTATGAATTTGAGATAGTCTTATTTGTGAGCTTGAAAAAGTTATGAAATGTTAAATTTCAAGCCAAATAGTCTTATCCATTAAGTAGATTTTAATTCCTCCAAAATAAAGGAATCCAAACGTCTCATGAGAGAAAATTTCAACATCTCCAATACCGAATTAGTATCCTTTGATCAATTATGCAGTAAATTTTACAATATACTTATTTGGTATAATAGATGTTAATTGAACTCGATCAGAACTAAAATAGATTGAATTAGGACAAACGTAAAGGTAGCTAGTAAACCTTTAGAAATGGGTTTATATTTATTCATGATTGGAGGGAGTAACTTGTAACAGGTTGCAAGCGAGACGAGTTTTACATTCTTAAATAACGCACCCCATACTTCAATGTACATGGTTAACAACCCTAACATCACTCTGTTTTAAATACTCTCCATAATTCTCGAGCGTTACAGAAAACAGCTAACTCATCCTCTAATTATGAACCCAAGATTTTAGCTCAGCGCATATACTTTATTTTTTTTGTGAAAGGGTCAGCGCATTCACTCACAGATTCACAGGCTTCAATTGGACCCCGTCGAATCCCAAGGTCCAAAGTCCAGAGGCAATAGAAACAGAAGGTGCGCCTGCACCAACCCCACCACCACCAGCAGCGATGCCACCAAAAGCACATGCGTTTTGTTGGTAGTAGCAGTCCGAGGGAGTCAAGCTGTCCATCCATCCAGCGTTTGTTAGGGGGAAAACCAACAATACAAATGCAACTCGCCACAAACTGACACGAACACCAGCGCCACTCCACTCCGCCCCGCTTCCCTCCTAGCGAGTCCGCACACGCCACACCACCGCTGTAGGCTGTAGCTCCTTCCTCCTTTAACCGTTGTTCATTCATCGCTTTGAGCAGGAACGGGGTGGTACTGCTTTCTAGTACCTGCCCACCTGCCCTTGCTGCACCTGCTGCTTCCCTGAACGCCTCCCGGCTGCTGACGGCTGGCCTGAGAATCCACCTGCATTTCTGAGGCTCAGCGCCGCGTGTACTCCTGCTCTGTGGTACCACTGACCTTGTCCTTTTGCTCTTTCCGTTTCTATCCCTGAAATCTGAAATCCTCTAGCGCGAAGTTACTTCCTCTGTTTCTTTTTTTTTTAGCCTGCACTCCGACTGCTCGCTGAAGACTGGATTCCTTAGTTTTTCTTTGTTCTTCAGGGGAGGATTCAGGAAATGCTCGGAGTTCCATTCCGCGGCTGAAACTTCTGGGAGGGTTTAAGGTAAGAGTTCTTCTCCGGCTTCTCCATGATCCCTGCCTCCCAAATTTCCAAACTTTCTTCTTCTTCTTCTTCTGTTCTTGATTTTCTTCTTCTCTCTCCACTTGGTTCAGTTCTTTCCCCGCTCCTCTTAACCGCGACTCACTCCGAAACGTTTCTCCATTTTGTTCCATTTTAAAGTTTGCTCTTTCTAGTACCGAGAAATGACTGTTCGGTTGAGAAAGGTCGTTGCGGGCGTTCCATTCTATTTTAATATTTGAGAACAGCGCCCACTAGATCTGAGCACGAGGAGGAATTTTTGTGTGGGCGGTGTTTCAAACCGGAGGGCGGTTTCTTCCCGTATGGGAGTGTTTCCCTGATTTTTGGTTTACTTATGCTAGGGTGCTTTTACTTCCTCCCTTTTCAAACCTCGCTGATGCCGTCCAGGCTGTAAATCCGTTGGGGCTATCCCTATCATCTTCTTCTTACTTAAAGTAGCATCATGTTACGCATATTTGTACTCTGCTGCAAGTTCTGGATCTGATTGAATTTTACGTCACCTTTACTTCTCTTTGACTTCCCTGTCTTTTGGCCAATGTTTCTTACAAAATATCTGTACCTAAACTACAGGTAGTTTTAATCTTGTTGAAATTTGTTCTTTTTTTTCTTTCTTTTTAGAAATGAACACTTCCTTGAAATATTACTCTATCAGGATGCCTACCTCCTCTTGTTTTTTTTTTCTTTACTTGACTGATTATGGATAGATAAGAAATGTATTTTAGTTGGCAAGTTTTTACTTACTTCAGTACTTATTGCAAGGGTTTCCCCTATTCTCGTCCTGGTTATTAATTTTATCTTCTGACCAGAGAGTAAGGAGAACTTGACCTCAGCGGTAGAGAAGAATATGGCAGCCACTGAAGCTGCCACAGACACAGGCAGTTCTAGGAGGTCACAAGAAGACACTGCAACACTAATCCCACACAGTGGCAATTTGGGAGAATCAAGCCGGAAGGGCGTGAAGACCACCAGGTTCAAAGATGATGATGAGGTTGTGGAAATCACCATTGTACAGCGTGATTCAGTGGCAATTGAAGATGTCAGGGCAGTCGATGATGGTGGCTGGGGGCATGGTGGTGGGTTTGACGGACTGTCACTTGTGTCACCTTCCTCGTCAAGGAGCGGCAAGCTATCATCAAAGATTAGGCAGGTGAAAAATGGGCTAAAGATGAAGAGCTCAAGCAATAAGGTGCCACAGACACAGTTGGGAAAGAACGTGAGGAAGAGATTGGACAGAAGCAAGAGTGGGGCTGCTGTAGCGCTCAAGAGCTTGCAGTTTGTGACTGCAAAAGTTGGTCATGACGGCTGGGCTGCAGTGGAGAAACGGTTCAACCAGCTACAGGTTGATGGCGTGCTGCTACGTTCAAGATTTGGGAAATGCATTGGTAATTTCAGTGGTTCTATTGAATATGTATCTCCATACAGCTATTTGAACAATGCTAATACAAGCATTGCTTTGGATTGTGCAGGGATGGATGGATCTGATGAGTTTGCAGTGCAAGTCTTCGATTCATTAGCAAGGAAGAGAGGGATAACAAAGCAGCTGCTGACTAAGGATGAGCTGAAAGATTTCTGGGGGCAACTCAGTGATCAGGGTTTTGACAACCGTCTACAGACATTCTTTGACATGTTAGTAATTTTGATGAATATCTTATTAGTACTGGCATGGTTTCCTTCTTTATGCATAACTGTATGTGATGCGTTATCGAAATCCACCTCCACATAAAAAAATACATGGCCTTACTAACATGCTACAACAACAACAACATAGCCTTGCCTTACTAACATGCTATCTTAAAAAAAGTATGAAGCAAAACTATTGTACTCCCTCCGTTCCAGTATATTCCTTCGGTTCAAAGACCAAGGAACACATTTAATTCTCTCTATCAACACTAGTATTACTGCATCGATGCATGTGCCTCTAGAGATAGCACGCCTTATATTATGGGACACAAATAAAAAGTGGTTACGCCTTATATATTGGGACGGAGGGAGTAATAAGTTTACACCAGCTTGTGTATTCAACAATTTTATTTGGCACTTACCATGTGTTAAGTTTTTCTGTTCAGGGTTGACAAGAATGCTGATGGAAGGATCACAGCAGAGGAGGTTAAGGAGGTCTGTCAGAAGAATCAAGAATTTAAAATCTAATATGTTCATGCTGTGTGTTGTAAGGTGCTAAGCAAATGATAATATGCTCTTGCAGATTATTACCCTCAGTGCTTCAGCAAACAAACTTTCCAAGCTCAAGGAACGGGCTGATGAGTACACAGCACTCATTATGGAAGAACTTGACCGCGACAATCTGGGATACATTGAGGTCTGCCCAATATACTCACCAAAAATAACAATTGTGGCACAGTCCATGTACTAACCCATGCTAAAAAATTAACAGCTTGAGGATCTGGAGGCACTTTTGCTGCAATCACCATCTCAAGCTGCTGCAAGATCGACAACACAAAGCTCAAAACTTAGCAAAGCTCTTAGCATGAAGCTTGCATCAAACAAGAACACAGGTCCATTTTACCACTACTGGCAAGAGTTCATGTACTTCCTTGAGGAGAACTGGAAGCGCATTTGGGTTATGACTCTCTGGCTCTCGATCTCCATTGGCCTCTTCATTTGGAAGTTCATCCAATACCGTAATCGAGCTGTATTTGGCATCATGGGTTATTGTGTGTGCACTGCAAAAGGTGCTGCAGAGACCCTCAAATTCAATATGGCCCTGGTTCTGTTTCCTGTTTGCCGAAATACAATCACTTGGATTCGATCAAAGACAAAGATCGGAGATGTTGTGCCCTTCAATGACAACATAAATTTCCACAAGGTAAGACTATATGTACTGTTAGTATTGAACACAGGATGCGCCTTTCCATTCTATGGGAGTATCCATTCCAATTGAAACATAGTTCTCTTTTTTTATCCTAGAGGACCAATGAGAATGAATTGTTAACCTTCCCATCTGATAGTTACACTTACTAATGTGGAAATTACATTATGTAATATGTATGGAATTATTGTGCAGGTAATAGCGGCAGGTGTTGCAGTTGGTGTTGCTTTGCATGCAGGTGCTCACCTGACATGTGATTTTCCCCGGCTGCTCCATGCAAGTGATGCTGCCTATGAACCAATGAAGCCTTTCTTTGGAGACAAAAGGCCACCAAATTACTGGTGGTTTGTAAAAGGAACTGAAGGGTGGACAGGGGTGGTCATGGTTGTACTTATGACTATAGCTTTCGTATTGGCCCAGCCATGGTTTCGGCGTAATAGGCTCAAGGATTCTAATCCCCTCAAGAAAATGACTGGCTTCAATGCCTTTTGGTTTACGCACCACTTATTTGTTATTGTGTATGCACTGCTCGTTGTCCACGGGATCTGCTTATATCTAAGCCGGAGATGGTACAAGAAAACGGTAAACATCTGTACCCTCATTGGCTAGAGAGCATCTAATTTCTGAAAGTCATTACTTACAGAGCATTTCTACCATTGCAGACCTGGATGTACCTTGCTGTCCCTGTGCTCTTGTATGTAAGTGAGCGAATTCTTCGGCTATTTAGGAGCCATGATGCTGTTAGGATTCAGAAGGTAACTGCAATTCGGTTCCTTTGGTTTTGCCATGTATTTTTCAACTTGCATACGATGAGAACAAAGCAAAGTTCAGTTAGTAGTAGGTGTGCTACAGACCCTTCCACCCAAATCTTCTGTTCAATTCGAATTTCGCTGTCTATTTTCTTTCATTCTACAAAGATACCTACTTACTCTGTAGTATTTTCATTTTATTTATGAGAAGTCATTTTGAAAATTTTGGTTTTCCTTTTTGACTTCTAACTTTGTGCCCTCTCAATAGGTTGCAGTATATCCAGGGAATGTTTTGGCTCTCTATATGTCCAAGCCACCTGGATTCAGGTATCGGAGTGGGCAGTATATCTTCATAAACTGCCGTGCTGTCTCTCCATATGAATGGTAGGCAGTTACACCCTTCCTCGAGGAAAGTGATGTACCTCGATTATATAATCAGCAGATGACTGAAGTTCATAATTTTCTTCTCTTGCAGGCACCCATTTTCCATTACATCAGCACCAGGAGATGATTATCTTAGTGTCCACATTCGCACAAGGGGTGATTGGACTTTACGTCTTAGGACTGTCTTCTCTGAGGTAATTTGGCTCGTAGGTTTTGAGTTTTTATTGGTCCAATAAGCCCCTTCTAGAACAAGACTCAATAACTCTTGAGGATGGTGAACACAACTTGTGAAATTTGTTATTTGTGAACTTCGATATCTGATGCCATTGCTTTTGTTGTTGGACCTGACAATTATGTAAATATGTACCAGGCATGCCGTCCTCCAACTGATGGAGAAAGTGGACTCCTCAGAGCTGACCTTTCCAAGGGGATCACTGAGAGCAACGCCAGGTAGAATTTGTTTGATTTGTTTTGAAATGTAGTACAATAAAATATACATTTCTTAGATTCATCTGACCCTGAATTTTGACATGCTCTAGGTTCCCAAGACTCTTAATTGATGGACCATACGGTGCTCCGGCGCAAGACTATCGGGAATATGATGTGCTCCTGCTCATTGGACTAGGCATTGGAGCTACTCCATTGATTAGCATTGTGAAGGATGTACTTAACCACATTCAGCATGGAGGATCTGTTGCAGGCACCGAGCCTGAGGGCAGTGGCAAGGCCAAGAAGAGGCCATTCGTGACAAAGAGAGCCTACTTCTACTGGGTGACCAGAGAAGAGGGATCTTTTGAATGGTTCCGAGGGGTCATGAATGAGGTGGCTGAGAAGGACAAGGATGGAGTCATTGAACTCCACAACCACTGCTCGAGTGTGTACGAGGAAGGGGATGCACGTTCTGCCCTCATTGTCATGCTTCAAGAGCTCCAACACGCGAAGAAGGGAGTCGACATCTTGTCTGGAACTAGTGTCAAGACGCACTTTGCGCGTCCCAATTGGCGAAGTGTTTTCAAACATGTTGCCATGAACCATGAGAACCAACGCGTCGGTATGTCACTTTGTCATCTTCATATCATGTCGGAGCATTCTATGTCATCTTCCTATCATGTCGAAGCACTAGAAACGTCAATTGACTTCATCATCTACTAACATCTGATTACTGTTCAGGAGTTTTCTACTGCGGTGAGCCTGTCCTTGTGCCACAGCTTCGGCAGTTTTCAGCAGACTTCACCCACAAGACAAATACAAAGTTTGAGTTCCACAAGGAGAACTTCTAATGGCGTAACTGGAGAAGCTCTGGACGTGGTCCTCTAATGATTTCAGAATGTGAATTACGAGGGTTGTAATATATATACAAGTAGAAGAATAAGACGATGGGAGTTATTTTGTTGTAGATGTCAAAGTAGATGAAGTGTCTTTGTAAGCATGCAACCTTAAAAAGTGTTAACACATCGAAACATGACATTTCGTTTTAAAGCTGGTTTCGACAGGTCTGTTGTGTTATCTGCTCCTGTTGGGCATACATTGCTTGTCTTAACAGCACCGCCTCTATAGTGAAGATCCGAGGAAGGTATTTACGGCACAAATGAGTCAGTTTCACTTGTGATCGTGAACTCCTGATGCTGAGTAGTTAGTTGTGCATTTCTTAGGTTGCTTAAAATGGAAGTTGCGGTGCTGGTGCTGCATATTGTTTGATGCCTGAACTGCTTGATCCATACTGCCATTTCAAACTCGCTGCCAAGCGTCATGATGCCTTTTCCCACGAATCGCCCGAATGAACCGAGGCCTCGTGGGTCCGGACGCCTTTGCGCAGACGGAAACGGGCATCTTCTCAGCTCGAACGGCCATTGGTTAGCTCAACCGCCTCGGGCCGAGTCGCCGCTGGCCCCTCTGCGCTTCCCCATCCAGAACGGAGAGAGTAGACCCGCCGCCCACACCAGAGACCAGACAGCCATTACCCCCATCACCTGTCTCTCGAGGAAGGTGGTTCGAGCGCACGGGGGTGGAGGAGGTGGTTCCAGTCCCCTTGCTCGTTTGGTGTTCGACGAAATGTCTGTTACCGCCCGGGAGATGCCAGCAGGGTGGTTGGATTATACATCCAGGACAATGGCGAGTGTAGACAGACTGCCCTCATGGGTCGCAATCATGTCAATGTTCGTGACGGAGGTGGTGCCAAAGAAGGTAATAATCTTGCTCCTACGTGGTGAAGTAGTATAATTCTTGATTCTTGTTTATACCTCTCTTCTTTATTTTTATTTTTATTTTTATTTTTTGCGAATTTTATTTATACCTCATTTGCTAGCACTTGGAGTCCCTAGTTGTTCCATTGCCACTAGTGGCAGGCTGGGTATCTCCAGTTTGTATTGGCAGACTGGGTACAACAAATTATTTTAGCGGAATGGCCAGGTGTTCTGCCGTTTCATTAAGTTGAAAGCAAGTGCAATACTTGCATGGATCTGAGAACTGTTGACTGCAACACTACCCTTCTAAAACGAAGAAGAAAAGGAAACTGCAGTACCTTACTAAAACAAAGATGAAAAGAAAAGGACTGAATATAGCCGCTCTAACTCACATCCAACCTTGGTTTTCTTTTTCTCCATTCCCAAAGATCAGAGGCTAATTGAGACCCAACTTCTCCAGCTTCAATCTAACCCGCCCAACCAGCAAAACCACTCTCTGCAAAGCCACCTTACCCAGCAGGCAGCAGCACCACGACCTCCTTGCCAAAGATGAGATTTACCACCTTCAGAGCGCTAAAAAGGATTGGGTTGTCAATGGAGACCGCAATACTACTTTCTTCCACCACTCCATAATTAAAAGAAATAGACGTAACCATATAACCTACCTCCACAATCGTGACGGCTCTTTATCCACCACTCCTGACCAGCTAGCTAATACCCTCAATCACTACTTCCAATCCATCTTCACTTCCCAGAATCAGCCTACCAATCAACCGACCAGTACCCAGCATCCCCCTCCCTCCCCTGTTCCTTTACCTATCCATGCACCCAATGGTACCTACAACCATCACAGTCCTGCCCGTGATGTCACTGCTGCCTTCTCCACAGGTTCTATGGTTTGCCCAGCTGATGACACTTACACTAACTCCATTCCAAATATGCAGGAATTATATGAAATTGTCAAACAGATGAGGAACAATGCCAGCCCGGGAGCTGATGGCCTCAATGCAGCCTTCTACAAATCGGCGTGGCCGTGGATCAAACAAGACGTCAGTAAACTGGTAACAGATTTCTACTCCTCCGGACATTTCAGCAATGACATCAATAAAATCTATATTGCCCTCATTCCTAAAAAAGATCAACCTCAAACTCCACAAGATTTTAGACCCATAAGTCTTTGTAATGTCATTTACAAAATTATAGCTAAGTCTCTAGCTAATAGAATAAAGCCTCACCTTCCTAATACAATTAATCATGCTCAGGCAGCTTTTATTACTAACAGGCATATCCCTTCTAATGTCATCATCACCCAGGAAATAATTCACTCGTTCAACCTTAAAAACTGGAATCAGAAAGCTTTTCTCTTAAAATTAGACCTTGCTAAAGCTTTTGATAGAAGGGCGGGCCTGGTGCAAGCGGTAGAGTCTTACCGCCTGTGACCGGAAGGTCCCGGGTTCGAGTCGCGGTCTCCTCGCATTGCACAGGCGAGGGTAAGGCTTGCCACTGACACCCTTCCCCAGACCCCGCACAGAGCGGGAGCTCTCTGCACTGGGTACGCCCTTTTAAAGCTTTTGATAGGCTAGAATGGGGTTTCATTGAGTCGGCCCTCCGTCGTCAAGGGTACCATGGTCATTTCATTAAACTCATCCAGGCATGCATTTCATCGCCGTCTTTTTCTGTACTGGTTAACGGTGAACCTTCTGCCACCTTCCGCTCTGAACGTGGCATTCGTCAAGGCTGCCCCCTGTCGCCGTATCTTTTTGTCATTGCAGTTAATGAACTGTCTATTCTTTTGCAAGCTGAATTGCAGAACAGGAATCTTTCAGGCATCAGCTTGGGGCCCGGCTGTCCACCCATCCACTCTCTCCTTTTTGCCGATGATCTGATTCTCTGTGGTCAAGCCTCTGTTGCCGAGGCTTCCACTATTAATTCCCTTTTCCATCAATTCTCGCAGTTATCCGGGCAAATTCTTAATTTCCAAAAATCTTCCATCCTCTTTATCAAGAATGTTGACAGTGCCACCGGATCCCAAATTAAAAGCAATTTTCTTCCTAATACTATGCACTTTAGTCGTCCAATGATTTTTAGTCACAGGGACAGGAATAAGGCTTATGATTTCATTCTCAACAAGTTCCGCTCCAAATTCACCACTTTTAAAGCCAATAAGCTTAACCATGCTGGCAGACTCACCTACATCAAATTTGTTCTTGCCTCTATTCCTATATACTACATGTCCACTGTTCTTTTTTTCCAAAACTTTTGTTGAAAAGATCACTGGAATCATTTGGAGGTTTTGGTGGCTGCCGCTCCTGGGAAGATATTTGTCAACCCAAAGAAAATGGGGGTCTCGGAGTCAGAGACCTTTTCACTGTCAACAAAAGTCTGATCACCCTCGCTGCCTGGAACATTGCCACCAACAAAAACCCCTTTCTCACCAGCATCTTAAAAGCCAAATATTTCCACTCCACCTCGTTTTGGACGGCTAGAGCTGATGGGCCTCGCTCTATTTTCTGGTCTTCTATCCTTCAGATTAAAAATGATCTTGTCCAGAATGTGATTTACCAAATTCATAATGGCAACACTTCTATTTGGTCTTCTCCTTGGTGTCCAATCTGGAACTCCATTCACGACCACCTTCTCTTGCCTGTCACTCACTCTCCACTTCCGAGCGTGGTCTCTGATCTATGGTTCCCTAATACTCATACTTGGAACCTGGATCTCCTCTCCACCATCTTTGATCCTCAGGCTGTTCAGATTATTTCCCAAATTGTAACGGTGGACAACCAGCACCATGACATCCTTCGATGGACTTCGGTAAAAATATTTACAGATTTTTAAGTTCGCAGGCTCAGGTTCAGCTTCCGCTCACAGGATCAAGGAGCATACAGCAACAGGCTAACCAGATCCTTCAACGAATGTGGAAGCTGAAAAACCTTCCTCCACTTATCAAGACTTTCACTTGGAGACTTATACGCAGAGCTCTTGCCACCGGATGCCAAGCAGCAAGATATTCAACACACATTGACGAGCATTGCAGCACCTGTGGACTAATTGAAACTGATGCTCATTTATTTTTTTCACTGTGATTTTGCTCGTGCAGTTTGGTTTTCAGCCACTCCGCCTCTATGAACTGACACTTTACCAAATGAGGATGATGTAGTACAGGTTATTCTTTCAGTACTTATTACCGATTCAACTGATAACTCCTTGATGCAAAAAATTCTTGTAACTATGTGGTATATATGGAAAGCCCGAAATGATCAAAGATTTGGCAGGAAAACATGGAATACTTGGCAGGTACATCATGCTGTGGCAGCATATATCAACACAGCAAACTCACCATTCTCCGTAGAGGATGCATAGGACTACTGTATGCAACACAGGAGGCAATGCACAACACAGAGGCGGTAACCTCAAATATCAACGCCTTCACTCCAGGAATGAACAATGAAATGACAGGTGCAACTTCTTCACCTGAACCAATGGAGAACAATGAGCAAGACGATGCAACGAGGCTGACAGTACACCTGATCAACATGGTGCCCATCCGGCAAGGAATATTGCCTGCCAACACAAACAATTCAAGCACAGGTATGCCTTCTGCTGATGCAGGTCACCGATCTGCAATTGCAGATTACAGGGTGCAGACTCTGTGTGCTACACACACCTACACCAATCAGGAGAACAGGAATCAAGACAGGAGCCATGCGCACAGTCATCAGGAACAAGCAAACACTATTCTGACACCTGCAACTCCAGGTATGAACTGTTGCATTGCAGGGAACAACTACCTAACAAATCAGATGCAGAGGTTCATGGCGACTGCAACACACAGACACACTGTGTCCTTTCCACCTCTGCTTCAGGGATCTAGGTGCTACACAGATGCCTCCACTGTGCCGGATCAGGTCTCTTCTCTCCCAAGGAAAGCATGAATCGGCATTTTCATCATCAATACCCAGGTCCAGCCTCCACAATATATATATATATATATATATATATATATATATATATATATATATAAAAGCAGCTATGCAACACTCCACCTCAGTCCTGATGGCCGAAGCTGCAGCTATTACGGCTCAACTTCAACTCCAACACACAAATTTCCTATCTGATAGTCAACAGCTGGTGGACTTCTTAAATTCTTCAGATCACTCCAATCCACCGGATTGGAGAATCAAGTACCTAACACAGCTCTTTGACAACTTCAGTCGCAACAGAAGCATAGGTACTTTCAAGATACAAAGGAACTTCAGTCTTCTGCTCCTGTTGTTTCCTATTTCTGTTCTCATACAGATCATGTAAACCAGTGCACTTTATCACTGGCACTTCAATCTGTAACCATTGACTCTGTAATGGTTCTTACAGCTAGATGCTGTTGAAATGAAATTGTGTTTGTTGTAAAAAAAAAAAAAAAAAAACTCACATGCATACTCTGTCGATCACTCGAAGGTCTGCACACCCGTTCTACTTGCTCTTTTCTCAGTGAAGTCTGATTGCTTGTATAACCATGAATAATTATGCCACTTGAGTACAGTGACATCGAAGAGAGACAAAAGTGAAGCTACTAGACAAAAAAAAAAGAATGACTTCTTTATGGAGAAGCATGTGAACCTGGACGGCTAGGCCTCGAGATTTGGCTCAACGATAATTTATGCAAGTGGATAATTTTGTAATGACAAAATGAATATGGCCAGCCATGATGGTATTAGATGTTGAGATTTAAAAATTCAAGATGCCTCACTAGCTGTTAACGTTGATATGGCACAGTGATCAGTCTGGTGACTGGTCAATTTTTGCTTTGAACGTCCAAAAGGAATCCATTGGGTGAGCTGCTGGCTGCTGCAAGCTGGAGTGGGAAGTCGAGCTCTCATGTGTTGTTACCGATGCAACTAATAAACACATCCACTTGACTCCCGAGAAGATCAAGGCTTGGTGTTCCTCTCCATCTGCCTCCAAACCGCTTGCTCAGACCATTCTCTTCTGCGCTCAGCAGCGGTGTTTCCCTGACTTCGTTCTGAGCGTGTGTTCTCGTGAGCTCTGACTACTGCTCCAATGGCGGAGCTGGTGGTCAGCATGGTGGTCGGGCCACTGCTGTCCCTGGTGAAGGAGAAGGCAACGAGCTACCTCCTGGACCAGTACAAGGTGATGGAGGGCATGGAGGAGCAGCACAAGATCCTGATGCGCAAGCTGCCTGCCATCCTCGACGTCATAACCGATGCCGAGGAGAAGGCGACGCGCCGAGAAGGAGTGAAGGCGTGGCTCAAGGAGGTCAAGACGGTGGCGTACGAGGCGAATGAAGCCTTTGATGAGTTCAACTACGAGGCGCTCCGTCGTGAAGCCAAGGAGAAGGGGCACATCCGCAAGCTTGGTTTCGAGGGAGTGAAGCTCTTTCCTACTCACAACCGCGTTGCATTCAGTAATAAAATGGGCAACAAGCTTCGCAGGATTGTGCAGACCATTGAGGTCCTTGTGACTGAAATGAATACATTTGGATTCAACTATCAAAACCAAGCACCAGCACCCAAGCAGTGGCGTGAGACTGATTCCATCCTTATGGACTCCGGTAATATTGCCACCAAATCAAGAGATGCAGAGACGCAGAAGATTGTTAAGATCCTGATTGATAGGGCTAGCGTCGCAGAGCTCACTGTCCTTCCTATCGTTGGAATGGGTGGGTTGGGTAAGACTACCCTAGCTCAGCTCATCTACAACCACCCTGATGTCAAGAAGCATTTTGAGCTACCCAAGTGGGTCTGCGTATCAGACGAGTTTGATGTTTCTAAGCTTGCAAACAAAATCTGTAACAGCTCCGAAAAGAACCTTGAAGAGGCACAGAAGAAGCTCCAGGATGAGCTTAAAGGAAAGAGGTGAAGTGGATTCTCTCTCATGTGTTTTTCATACCTTTTCTTTTTGTAGAGAATATTTTTCTCAAACTTACACCCTTCGTCCTACAAAGCATCGAATTCTAGGTCTTTTTAGTCAATCAATCTTAGGTTTAACCAAACATATAACAAATATTAATATTTTTTGTCCGAATCATGGAATATATTTTAAGAGGAAACCTATATATTTGGAGATATAATTTTTTTTCACGAGTGTGCCTGAGCAAGTATTTAATTAAGAAATAAGGAAACCTGCGACCACACACATGTCCGCTATATTTCACTATGTCGATAATTCAAGTGATGATGTGGATGGTTTCCGATGGCAATAAAATGTTAAGATGGTAATTTGGACAATCATAAAGAATGATGGGACGATTAATCATATCCCCACATGCCTTCTTTATACCTTATTCATTTATATGCTTCTATGTGGTGTCATTAAATGTAATAATTAACTAAAAACTTCTAATTCGATATTAGTATTCACATATCCTCCAAAAGAATTGATTATTTTTAATATTTTGCTATTGGAACTTAGTGTCCGCTATAGCACCTGTTATCTGTGATCCGCTACATAGACATTAATCCCTTATAAAACCGCTATCCACTATTTATTAGTTTGGACAGCATGAATACAGACCTACAAAGTTCTACTCAACAACAGCTAAGAAGGATCAAGATCAGAACAAAACAAACAACGACCACAGGCATCCATAGCAGGCACCCATAGCCAGCCCTGTTCGCTTGTCTTATAATCCGTATTTTTTAGCTTGTTTTTTTAGCCGGAACAATATTTTTCTCTCACAACAAAACAGCCGGAACAGTATTTCGACTTGTTTTTTCAGCGAAGCGAACGGGGCCAAAGCGCCTAGCAATATGGAGACATAGAGCCACCCATGGAAGACGCGCCTTTTTCTGCTCCTTCCACGTTAACCAAAGCATCAACGCGACTAGGAAGCAAACCCTTACAATGAGATATAAATATTGATATATTTTCTACTCTCTTGTCTCTAAATAAATTAATTTCTAGAGAGCTATCTTAAGTTAATTTTTTTAATGTTTAACCAAATTTATAGAAATAAACATAAATATTTACGACAACGAATGAACACATTATAAAAATATAGTTATGGTGTATATAGTGATATTAATTGGTTTCATAAATTTTTCTATTTTTTCTATGAATTCGTTCAAACTTAAAAAATGACTTAAGACAACTCTTTAAAAATTGATTTATTCAGAGGTGGATGGAGTATAAACTTGCACTATATAATTATAGATATTGTTTTCTATAAATAAAGTTAAATTTAATAAAATTTGACTTAGTCTAAACCTAGAATTGAACTCTATTTTTGACACAGTATCTACTACTCAACATAAGCACAAGAGCAAACAAACCCCACCACTTGCATGCAATTTTCATTTTAAGTATTTCACGGTCACTCCATTCGTCTTACGAAGCTCGAAGGCCACAAAAACTACTGGCCCTCAAACCTGATAGTTAAATAAGTTGTAGGTGAACGCCATGCTCAATATGAGTTGCACGTTACCCTCTCCAACATGCACAAAACTTGCAATCTCTTGTGCTCTCCATGCACTAATGCCAGGCTTATTTGTCACACAGGTATCTTATCGTGTTGGACGACGTCTGGAATGAGGACGGTGACAAGTGGGCGAAGCTAAAAGCCAGCCTTAAGCATGGTGGGAACGGTTGTGTCGTATTGACAACCACTCGCAAGGAAGGAGTTGCGAAACTAATGGGTACAATTAAAGCCCATGACATTGCACTTCTGGATGATGGATCCATAAAGGAAATTATTGAGACTAAGGCATTCGGTTCGCAAGAGAATAGACCAGCTGAGCTACTGGCCTTGGTTGATGACGTTGTGCAAAGATGTGCTGGATCTCCCTTGGCTGCGAATGCACTAGGATCTGTGCTACGTGGCAAGGCAAGTCCAAGAGAATGGAAGGCTGTCATAAGCAAAAGCATCGCCCATAACAAGGAAGATAAAATCTTGCCTATTCTCAAGCTCAGTTATGATGACCTGCCATCACACATGAAGCAGTGCTTTGCTTTCTGTGCTGTATTTCCCAAGGGTCATGACATTTATGTGGAACTCCTGATACAATTATGGATGGCAAATGGCTTTATTCGACAAGAAAAAGATGTCCATCCTGAAACCACTGGTAAACACATTTTCCATGAGCTGGTCTCAAGATCATTCTTTCAAGATGTGAAGCAAGTCAAAGGGGATATAAAGGACGACAATGTGTATTGGTATTGCCCTAAGACTACATGTAAAATCCATGATCTCATGCATGATGTGGCACTGTCTGCCATGGAAAATGAAGTTGCTACCATAACTGATGAGAATAAGCCAAAGCACAGTGAGTTTCTTCAAAACACTTGTCTCCATATAGCTTTGTCGTGTGATGAGCCAGAGGCCCTTTTGAATAATTCCCTGAAGACAAGATCTCCGGCTATCCAAACACTACTATGCCATAGAAGAATTGGAACTTCACTGCATCATATAGGAAAGTACAACTCTTTGCGAGCCTTATCACTCTTTCAGAGTAGGGGTGCATTTGTACTGAAACCAAAGTATCTACATCACCTAAGGTATCTCAATGTTTCAAGGAGTGATATAGAGTCACTGCCAAAAGATATAAGCATCTTATATCATCTGCATACGTTGGATGTTTGTGGCTGTAAGAATCTTAGCTGGCTTCCAAAGGAAATAAAGTACATGACAGCACTTCGTCACCTCTACACTCAAGGATGTGACACGTTGAAGTGCATGCCTCCAAAGCTTGGGCAACTCACTTCCCTGCAAACACTCACTAATTTTGTAGTGGGTACGGGGCCTAATTGCAGTAGTATTGGAGATCTGCAGCATTTAAACGATCTTGGTGGTTCACTAATGCTTAGTCAACTCGAAATTGTGACAGAAGCAATTGATGCGAAGATGGCCAATCTTGGAAATAAAAAGGAACTCATAGCACTGTCATTAAGATGGACACCAACCGAGGAGGAGAAAACACACTGTCATAAGGTCCTAGAAGGTCTGGAAGCTCCTCATGGACTCAAGGCTCTAAGGATAAATGATTACCTAGGAACCAGTTTCCCAGTGTGGATCGGTATGCTGCCAAACATGGTTGAGCTTCATCTTTATGATTGTAAGAAGTCGAAGAATCTTCCTCAACTGCGGCAAGTATCAGCTCTACAAGTTCTATGTTTGGAAGGATTGGAAGAATTGCAATGCTTGTGTAGCGGTGGTACATTCTTTAATTTTCCGAATCTAAAGGAGCTTATGCTGGTCAGATTGCCTGCTTTTGATAGATGGTGTGAAGTAAACTGGCTCCAAGGAGAGCAGGTAATATTTCCTCATCTCGAGAAGTTGTGCATTAAGAAATGTGAAAAGCTGACAGCATTACCAGAGGCAGCACCACTTGGACAATCATGCGGTCCGAATCATACTGAGATATGGTCAGCATTTCCAGCATTGAAGATACTCCAATTAGTAGATCTAGAGAGCTTTCATGGATGGGAGACAGTCGAAGCCACTCAAGGACACCAGATAATGTTTCCTCATCTTGAAAAGTTATCTATTCGCAGCTGCCAAGAATTGATAGCTCTACCAGAAGCTCCACTGCTCGAAGAACTGTGTGGGGTACATTATAAAATGGCACGCTCAGCATTTCCAACATTGAAGGTGCTAAAGTTGAAAAAGTTAGATAAATTTCAGAAATGGGGGTCAGCTGATGAAGCAACTCAAGGACAACAGATAATATTTCCGTTGCTTGAAAATATATCAATTCACAATTGCCAAAATCTAATAGCACTACCAGAAGGACCATTGCTCCTAGAATTGTTTGGTGTAGATTATGAAAAGGCACACTCAGCATTTCCGGCGTTGAAGGTACTTGAACTGGAGGGATTGGAGAATTTTGAGAGATGGGAACAAGTTGGGGCAACTCAAGGAGGAGACACGATGTTCCCACATCTTGAAGAGTTATTGATTGGTGACTGCCCAAAGATGGCAGCATTACCAGCAGGTACATCATCTTTGGCACCATCAGTTGGCCGTAGTAATATCAAAACATGGTCAGCGTTTCCTGCATTGAAGGTGCTAAAGTTGAAAGAGTTAGATAAATTTCAGAAATGGGGGTCAGCTGCTGAAGCAACTCAAGGACAACAGATAATATTTCCGTGCCTTGAAGATTTATCAGTTCTCGATTGCAAAAATCTGATAGCACTACCGGAAGGACCATTGCTCCAAGAATTGTGTGGTGAAGATTATGAAAAGGCACGCTCAGCATTTCCGGCGTTGAAGGTACTTGAACTGGACGGATTGGAGAATTTTGAGAGATGGGAACAAGTTGGGACAACTCAAGGAGGAGACACGATGTTCCCACATCTTGAAGAGTTATCGATTCGTGACTGCCCAAAGATAACAGCATTACCAGCACGTACATCAAGCCTGTTTGCTGTGCCGCCTGGCAAAGTTGCCTGGCGCACGAGCTTCTCCCATGCGTTTGATTTTCTCCGCCTGGGGTTAGGATCTCTGCCTGGCGTAAGCTCTACCTGGGAGGGTTCAAAGCAAACAGCCCCATCATCTTTGGCACAGTCATCAGTTGGACATAGGGATATTACAACACGGTCGTCGTTTCCAAAATTAAAGAAACTCATGTTCCGTGATTTAATAAATTTTAAGAGCTGGGGGATCACGGAAGCAATTAATAATAAACAGTGGACGTTCCCTGACCTTGAGACTGTTTTGATTGTTGGATGCCCAGAGTTGACAACTCTACCTGAGGGACCAAAGCTCAGCTCATTAGAAATACGAGGCGGCCACCAGCAGATCTTCTTAGCAGCAATTCCTAGAGTTATTGATTCACTGTCCGAACTGGCGATGTCTTTCAAAGATGCAGAAACAGCCTTACCAGCTGAGCACGGTGCGTTTGAGCTGGCGGACAGCAACAACATTAAATCCACTCTGACAAGACTGTGCCTAGGGTGGGGCTGCCACGTCCTCTTCCACTCAAACGCACTAGCAGTATGGACATGTTTTGTACAGCTTCAAGATCTGAAATTTATTTACTGCGATGCACTTGTCTACTGGCCGGAGGAGGAGTTCCAGAGCCTGGTATCCTTGAGGAATCTGGTGATTTGGGACTGCAATAATCTGATTGGATACGCACGAGCTGGTCCTGGCCAACCAGCATCAGAAAGGAGCCAACTTCTGCCCAACCTCGAGTCTCTAGACATATGGGATTGTGAAAGTCTGGTAGAGGTCTTCAACGTGCCCGCATCTCTCAAGAAAATGGATGTTCGGAGGTGTCCTAAACTTGACGTCATGGCATCCATAGCTGCTGTACCACAGCTGTCTTTATCGACCAGGGATCACTTCCTTCCATGCCTTGAATCGCTAACGATACAGAGGTGTGGCAGCTTGTCAGTGGTTCTCAACCTTCCCCCATCCCTCAGGGAAATATATATTTTGAAATGCGACAAACTACAACTCCTCTCGGGCCAGCTGGACGGACTCCGAATACTGGATATTGATAGGTGCCCAGAGTTGAGATCACTGGAATCTGTCTCTGGAGAGCTCCAAACGCTGGAATTCCTCCGTCTTCGGGGTTGCGAAAGCCTAGCGTCTTTCTTGTCCAATGGGCCACAAGCATACTCATGTCTTTGTGTGCTTATAATTACAGACTGCCCAGGTATAAAGTCGCTCCCTTGGTCCCTGAGGCAGCGACTGGACAGCCTCGAAGAAAAATATCTAGATGCTCGTTACCAAGGTACCCACTAAACTATAACTTTGCCATTTCACCATCAACTGCGTAAAATCGTCTGCTCGTGTGTATTGTCCTCGTCAAGCTGCTACTCGCTATCTAAAAATATACTATATCAGTTTCCTTTGCCCTTAGGCATGCATGCAGTATCACCAGTGTTTAGGTCCTGACTCCTGAGATATATTTATCATTTGAATGTACATGTGGGGCCGAATGTTCACTGATCAACTAGTGTGGTATTTTTGCTTTGCTCCTAATAGAACCGTTAAGTGATAGTACATGCATCATCCACAAGAATCATTTCTGCTTTGGTCATCCAAATATATAGTCTTAAGTTCATCTTTTGACACGAGTTTGCCAAATGATTCATTAATTTTTCTTCTGTTCGTATGTGCGTCTATACGTGTGAACTGTCTCCAGAAATTATTAACCGATTGGAAATTACTCAGCAATTACAGCATCAATAATGTCCCCAAAAGTTCCTTTTCTTTATGGAATTGTCACCGTAGCTTGCTGGTTTAAGCATTTAGAAAATACAAGAAAAAAATGTATTCCAATTTCCAAGTGATCCCGTTACACTCGAACAGATGGAGACGCAACAATTAAGGTGTCATGTGGGGCCTCCAGTACCGACGTCGGCCGCGCGTCCAGGAGCAGCAATCGCCGGCACCGAGTGGCTAGGCGTGGATTTAGGCATGCAAGCATGCAGATCGACATGCAAGGATTGCTAGAATAAAGGAGTTTGTTTCCATTTGTTAGCAGGCCACGGGCCTATATAATTCATGTAATCGGCACTCGTTGGATTAAGCAAGAATGACCAACCCTAATCCTCTATCATCTTCCTAATCTCACCTCCTAAATCATTGGGCAGCCGGGCAACGAGCCCGACGCCATTACCCGTCAAGGCTACGAGCTTCGTAGCCGTGGACCCGCTGTCTTGGGCATCGACGCCCTTGACATAAGGACACAACTAGCTAAAAGACTTTAATTAAACGGATATGTTTCTATTCCCCTTATGTTACCTTTCCAACAGAGATGCCAAGGAAAGTTTATACTTGTCAATTTAATTGATATTTCTTCTGTTTACCTGACGAAATTTGACTAACTGAAGTTCAGGGAACTAACATTGACTTCTAAAATCAGGACCCAGTGTTTGAGGGACGACTAAAATGGCTTTTTTCCTGTTAATAACGTTTTTTTTTCTAATAACTTCACTGCTAGGATGCACAATGTATGCCTTTTGTTTTAGAAAGAATTGGGAAATTACTCGGTACAATTAAATAGCAATATACCTTTCAGATGCCATACTCTCGAATCTTTGTATGCCTTTTCAGTTACTCTATCACCCTGTTCGCTTGTTGGTTTCAGCCAGCCCAAACCAACCAGCCAACAGTGTTTTTCTCTCACAAAAAACCAGCACCAGCCAGCCCAAACCAGCACCAGCACCAACCAGCGAACAGGCCCTATATTTCTATGGACAAATCCTAACATCAGCTATCACCAGGTGCAAAGCTACTGAAGCCAAAGACATGGAAATACGCCAGCTGTAGCAATTAGTGAGATGGAAGTAACGCCAAGTACCTGAAAGGTTGATAAACTGGTTAGTAGCATCAGCACTGAAAGAGTGAAAGTTACGTATGAACGATAGGCACAGCTACCTAGTATCCTTCGGTATGAACGATAGGCACAGCTACCTAGTATCCTTCGGTGTGAACGATAGCTACCTAGTATCCTTCGGTGTGAACGATAGGCACAGCTACCTCCGATCGAATCGATGCTCCCGTGTTGAAGGCACCATTGAAGTTTCATCTACCTTCAGTGTCCTCCTTTCCCACCATATTATCTCCTCTTCAGCCTCCCTCCGTCCTCTCCTTGCCTCCTCGACTCGGGCGCTCGTGTGCTGTGTGCTCTGGGTGCAATGGCGGAGGTGGCGGTCAGCATGGTGGTCGGGCCACTGCTGTCCCTAGTGAAGGAGAAGGCGTCCAGCTACCTCCTGGAGCAGTACAAGGTGATGGAGGGCATGGAGGAGCATCACAAGATCCTCATGCGCAAGCTGCCTGCCATCCTCGACGTCATCACCGATGCCGAGGAGAAGGCGAGGCGCCGAGAAGGAGTGAAGGCGTGGCTCAAGGAGATCAAGACGGTGGCGTACGAGGCGAACGAAGTCTTCGACGAGTTCAGCTACGAGGCGCTCCGCCGTGAAGCCAAGGAGAAGGGGCACATCCGCAAGCTTGGCTTCGAGGGAGTGAAGCTTTTTCCTACTCACAATCGTGTTGCATTCCGTAATAAGATGGGCAACAAGCTTAGCAGGATTGTGCAGACCATCGAGGTCCTTGTGGCTGAAATGAATGCTTTTGGATTCAATTATCAGCAACAAACACCAGAGTCCAAGCAGTGGCGTCAAACTGATTCCATTATTATTGACCCTGAGAATATTGCCAGCAAATCTAGAGATGCAGAGACGCAAAAGATTGTTAAGATCCTGATTGATAGGGCTAGCGTCGCAGAGCTCACTGTCCTTCCTATCGTTGGAATGGGTGGGTTGGGTAAGACTACCCTAGCTCAGCTCATCTGCAACCACCCTGATGTCAAGAAGCATTTTGAGCTACACAAGTGGGTCTGCGTGTCAGACGAGTTTGATGTTTTTAAGCTTGCAAACAAAATCTGTAACAGCTCCGAAAAGAACCTTGAAGAGGCACAGAAGAAGCTCCAGGATGAGCTTAAAGGAAAGAGGTAAAGTGGATTCTCTCTCATGTGTTTCTAAACCTTTTCTTTTTGTAGAGAATATTTTTCTCGAACTTGCACCCTTCGTCTAAAAAAGTATCGAGTTCTAGTTTTTTTTTTAGTCAATCAATTTTAAGTTTAACCAAACCTATAACAAATACTAATATTTTTGGTACCGAATATATTTTCAGAGCAAACCTATATATTTGGAGATATAAATTTTTTTTCACGAATGTGCCTAAGGAAGTATATAATTAACAAATAAGGAAACATGTGACCACACACGTCCGCTATTTCACTATGTCAATGATTCAAGTGATGATGTGGATGGTCTACGATGGCAATAAAATGTTAAGATAGTAATTTGGACAATCATAAAGAATGATGGGATGATTAATCATATCCCCACATGCCTTCTTTATACCTTATTCATTTATATGCTTCTATGTGGTGTCATTAAATGTAATAATTAACTAAAAACTTCTAATTCTTCAAGAAAACATGATATTAGTATTAACATATCCTCCAAAAGAATTGATTATTTTTAATATTTCGCTATTGGAACTTAGTGTCAGCTATAGCACCCGCTATCTGTGATCCGCTACATAGACATTAATCCCTTATGAAAACGCTATCCGCTATTTATTAGCTTGGACGGCATGAATACAGACCTACAAAGTTCTACTCAACAGCAGCTAAGAAGGACGAAGTTCAGAACAGAACAAACGACGACCACAGGCATCCATAGCCAGCCTGAACCTACCATTGCGCCTCCTCTTTAATCCTTAGTGCCACTAGCAATATGGAGACATAGAGCCACCCATGGAAGACGCGCCTTTTTCTGCTCCTTCCATGTTAACCAAAGCATCAACGCGACTAGGAAGCAAACCCTTACAATGAGATATAAATATTGATATATTTTCTACTCTCTCGTCTCTAAATAAATTAATTTCTAGAGAGCTATCTTAAGTTATTTTTTTTAATGTTTAACCAAATTTATAGAAATGAGCATAAATATTTACGGCAACGAATGAACACATTATAAAAATATAATTTATGGTGTATATAGTGATATTAATTGGTTTCATAAATTTTGCTATTTTTTCTATGAATTCGTTCAAACTTAAAAATTGACTTAAGACAACTCTTTAAAAATTGATTTATTCAGAGGTGGATGGAGTATAAACTTGCAGTATATAGTTATAGATATTGTTTTCTATCAATAAAGTTAAATTTAATAAAATTTGACTTAGTCTAAACCTAGAATTGAACTCTATTTTTGACACAGTATCTACTACTCAACATAAGCACAAGAGCAAACAAACCCCACCAGGTGCATGTAATTTTCATTTTAAGTATTTCACGGTCACTCCATTCGTCTTGCGAAGCTCGAAGGCCACAAAAACTACTGGCCCTCAAACCTGACAGTTAAATAAGTTGTAGGTGAACGCCAAGCTCAATCTGAGTTGCTCGTTACCCTCTCCAACATGCACAAAACTTGCAATCTCTTGTGCTCTCCATGCATTAATGCCAGGCTTATTTGTCATACAGGTATCTTATCGTGTTGGACGACGTCTGGAATGAGGACGGTGACAAGTGGGAGAAGCTAAAAGCCAGCCTTAAGCATGGTGGGAACGGTTGTGTCGTATTGACAACCACTCGCAAGGAAGGAGTTACGGAACTAATGGGTACAATTAAAGCCCATGACATTGCACTTCTGGATGATGAATCCATAAAGGAAATTATTGAGACTAAGGCATTCGGTTCGCAAGAGAATAGGCCAGCTGAGCTACTGGACTTGGTTGATGACGTTGTGCAAAGATGTGCAGGATCTCCCTTGGCTGCGAATGCACTAGGATCTGTGCTACGTGGCAAGACAAGTCCAGAAGAATGGAAGGCTGTCCTAAGCAAAAACATCGCCCATAACAAGGATGAGAAAATCCTGCATATTCTCAAGCTCAGTTACGATGACCTGCCATCACACATGAAGCAGTGCTTTGCTTTCTGTGCTGTGTTTCCCAAGGACTTTGATATTGACATGGAACTCCTGATCCAACTATGGATGGCAAATGGCTTTGTTCCCAAAGAAAAAGACATTAATCTTGAAACCACTGGTAAACACATTTTTGAGGAGCTTGTCTCAAGGTCATTCTTTCAAGATGTGAAGCAAGTCAGAGGGGACAGAGAGGACGAGGACGTGGATTGGTATTGCCCTAGGACTATATGTAAAATGCATGATCTCATGCATGATGTAGCACTGTCTGCCATGGAAAATGAAGTTGCTACCATAACTGATGAGAAGCCAAAGCAGAGTGAGTTTCTTCAAAACACTTGTCGCCATATAGCTTTGTTGTGTGATGAGCCAGAGGCCATTTTGAACGGTTCTCTGAAGACAAGATCTCCAGCTATCCAAACACTAGTATGTCGTAGAAGAATCAATAGTTCACTGCATCATTTAGGAAAGTACAACTCTGTGCGAGCCTTATCACTCTGTCAAAATAAGGGTACATTCCTACTGAAACCAAAGTATCTACATCATCTGAGGTATCTTGATGTTTCATGGAGTAATATAGAGTCACTTCCAGAAGATATAAGCATCTTATATCATCTGCATACTTTAGATGTCTCTTACTGTGAGAATCTTAGTCAGCTTCCAAAGCAAATAAAGTATATGACTGCACTCCGTCATCTCTACACTCACGGATGTGGGAAGTTGAAGTGCATGCCTCCAAAGCTTGGGCAACTCACTTCCTTGCAAACACTCACTAATTTTGTTGTGGGTGTAGGGTCTGATTGCAGTAGTATCGGAGAGCTGCAGCATTTAAATAACCTTAGTGGTTCACTACTGCTTAGTCAACTCGAAAATGTGACAGAAGCAATCGATGTGAAGATGGCCCATCTTGGAAATAAAAAGGAACTCACAGCATTGTCATTAAGATGGACAGCTACCGAGGAGGAGAAACCAAACTGTCTTAAGGTCCTTGAAGGTCTGGAAGCTCCTCAACTTAAGGCTCTAAGGATAAATGGTTACCCAGGAACCAGTTTCCCAGCGTGGATGAATAAGCTGCCAAACATGGTTGAGCTTCATCTTAAAGGTTGTAAGAAATTGAAGAATCATCCTCCACTGTGGCAAGTACCAGCTCTACAAGTTCTATGTTTGGAAGGATTGGAAAAATTGCAATGCTTGTGCGGTGGTGGTACATTCTTCAATTTGCCTAATCTAAAGGAGCTTATGCTGGTTGGGCTGCCTGCTTTTGACAGATGGTGCGAAGTAAAATGGCTCCTGAGAGAGCAGGTAATATTTCCCCATCTTGAGAAGTTGTGCATTGAGAAATGTGAAAAGCTGACAGCATTACCAGAAGCAGCACCACTTGGACAATCATGCAGTCAAAATCATACTGAGATACGGTCAGCATTTCCAGCATTAAAGGTACTCGAATTAAAATATCTAAAGAGCTTTGATGGATGGGAGGCTGTAGAAGCTACTCAAGGACACCGGATAATGTTTCCTCATCTTGAAAAGTTATCTATTCGCAGCTGCCAAGAGTTGATAGCTCTACCAGAAGCTCCACTGCTCGAAGAACTTTGTGGGGTACATAATAAAATGGCAGGCTCAGCGTTTCCTGCATTGAAGGTGCTAAAGTTGAAAGAGTTAGATAAATTTCAGAAATGGGGGTCAACTGATGAAGCAACTCAAGGACAACAGATAATATTTCCGTGCCTTGAAGATTTATCAGTTCTCGATTGCAAAAATCTGATAGCACTACCGGAAGGACCATTGCTCCAAGAATTGTGTGGTGAAGATTATGAAAAGGCACGCTCAGCATTTCCGGCGTTGAAGGTACTTGAACTGGAGGGATTGGAGAATTTTGAGAGATGGGAACAAGTTGGGGCAACTCAAGGAGGAGACACGATGTTCCCACATCTTGAAGAGTTATCGATTCATGCCTGCCCAAAGATGACAGCATTACCAGCAGGTACATCATCTTTGGCACCATCAGTTGGCCGTAGTGATATCAAAACATGGTCAGCGTTTCCTGCATTGAAGGTACTTAAACTGAAGGGATTGGAGAATTTTGAGAGATGGGAACAAGTTGGGGCAACTCAAGGAGGAGACACGATGTTCCCACATCTTGAAGAGTTATCGATTTGTTACTGCCCAAAGATGACAGCATTACCAGCAGGCACATTATCTTTGGCACAGTCATCAGTTGGACATAGGGATATTACAACACGGTCATTGTTTCCAAAATTAAAGACACTCACGTTCTGTGCTTTAAAGAGTTTTAAGAGCTGGGGGGTCACGGAAGCGATTAATGGTGAACAGTGGATGTTCCCTGACCTTGAGACTGTTTGTATTTATGAAAGCCCAGAGTTGACAACTTTACCAGAGGGACCAAAGCTCAGCTCATTAACAATACGAGACGGCCACCAGCAGATCTTCTTAGCAGCAATTCCTAGAGCTATTGATTCACTGTCCAAACTGGCGATGTCTTTCAAAGATGCAGAAACAGCCTTACCAGCTGAGCACGGTGCGTTTGAGCTGGCGGACAGCAACAACATTAAATCCCCTCTGACAAGACTGGAGCTAGGACGGGGCTGCGACTTGCTCCTCCACTCAAACGCACTAGCACTATGGACTTGTTTTGTACAGCTTCAAGATCTGAAATTTATTTACTGCGATACACTTGTCTACTGGCCGGAGGAGGAGTTCCAGAGCCTGGTATCCTTGAGGAATCTGAAAATTTGGTCTTGCAGTAATCTGATTGGATACGCAACAGCTGTTCCTGGCCAACCAGAATCAGAAAGGAGCCAACTTCTACCCAACCTCGAGTCTCTAGACATAGGGGATTGTGAAAGTCTGGTAGAGGTCTTCAACGTGCCCGCTTCTCTCAAGACAATGGTTGTTTGGGGGTGTCCTAATCTTGAGTCCATATTCGGCAAGCAACAGGACAAGCCGACATTGAATCAAGAGCCTAGCACTGACGTCATGGCATCCATAGCTGCTGTACCACAGCTGTCTTCATCGACCAGGGATCACTTCCTTCCATACCTTGAATCGCTAACGATACAAAGGTGTGGCGGCTTGTCAGAGGTTCTCAACCTTCCCCCATCACTCAGGGAAATAGATATTTTGAAATGCGACAAACTACAACTCCTCTCGGGCCAGCTGGATGCACTCCGAACACTAAAGATTTATTGCTGCCCAAGGTTGATATCACTGGAATCTAGCTCTGGAGAGCTCCAAACTCTGGAATGCCTCCGTCTTTGGGGTTGCGAAAGCCTAGCGCCTTTCTTGCCCGATGGGCCACAAGCATACTCATCTCTTCGTAGGCTCAGAATTACACGTTGTCCAGGTATAAAGTCGCTCCCTTGGTCCCTGCGGCAGCGACTGGACAGCCTCGATGACCATCGTAAAGATCTGGATGCTCGTTACCAAGGTACCCACTAAGCCTTTGTTTAGTTCCACCCCAACTTCTAAAAAGTTGCTATAGTATCTGTCACATCGAATGTTTGCGGCTCGTGCATGGAGCATTAAATGTAGACAAAAAGAAAAACTAATTGCATAGTTTGGTGGGAAATTGCGAGACGAACGTTTTGAGCCTAATTAGTCCACGTTTGAACACTATTTGATAAATAAAAACGAACGTGCTACAGTAGCCTCAAAATCTAAATTTCTCCAACTAAACAAGGGCTAAACTGTAACTTTGCCATTTCACCATCAATTGCGTAAAAATATATATCAGTTTCCTTAGCCCTTAGGCATGCATGCAGTATCACCAGTGTTTAGGTCCTGACTCCTGAGATATATTTATCATTTGAATGTACATGTGGGGCCGAATGTTCACTGATCGACTAGTGTGGTATTTTTGCTTTGCTCTTAATAGAACCGTTAAGTGATAGTACATGCATCATCCACAAGAATCATTTCTGCTTTGGTCATCCAAATATATAGTCTTAAGTTCATCTTTTGACACGAGTTTGCCAAATGACTCATTAATTTTTCTTCTGTTCGTATGTGCGTCTATACGTGTGAACTGTCTCCAGAAATTATTAACCCATTGGAAATTACTCAGCAATTACAGCATCAATAATGTCCCCAAAAGTTCCTTTTCTTTATGGAATTGTCACCGTAGCTTGCTGGTTTAAGCATTTAGAAAATACAAGAAAAAAAATGTATTCCAATTTCCAAGTGATCCCGTTACACTCGAACAGATGGGGACGCAACAATTTCCCCTGATGTTACCTTTCCAACAGAGATGCCAAGGAAAGTTTATACTTGTCAATTTAATTGATATTTCTTCTGTCTAGCTGACGAAATTTGACTAACTGAAGTTCAGGGAACTAACATTGACTTCTAAAATCAGGACCCACGACTAAAATGGCTTCTTTTTCCTGTTAATAACGTTTTTTTCTAATAACTTCACTGCTAGGATGCACAATGTATGCCTTTTGTTTTAGAAAGAATTGGGAAATTACTCGGTACAATTAAATAGCAATATACCTTTCAGATGCCATACTCTCGAATCTTTGTATGCCTTTTCAGTTACTCTATATTTCTATGGACAAATCCTAACATCAGCTATCACCAGGTGCAAAGTTACTGAAGCCAAAGACATGGAAATACGCCAGCTGTAGCAATTAGTGAGATGGAAGTAACGCCAAGTACCTGAAAGGTTGATAAACTGGTTAGTAGCATCAGCATTTCTTAAATTATTGGGTCTTAATTACAATCATCTCGAGTTATTAGTGCTTATTGCATATCCTATCTATTTTAGGGACAGGTGTTATGGTGTGCCTTGTTTACTGTCAGCGTCCAAACCATCATGTGGATAATGATACTTTTCCTCCTCTGGTGTTCACTCTCCGGGGCCTAAATTTCCATATAGGCATAGATGCAAGTTGTTGAAGGCAATATAATTTTATACCTGATATTTCTCCTTAATAACCATAACAAGAGATGTAACACTATTTATTCTGACATCAAATGGATAAGGAGACCGGGATATATTGATACTCTTTCCAATGAAATACACTCACACCTTTGCTGTTACCTTCCCATGAGTTGATGTGTTCTGCATTTGTTTGTAAGTGAGCTTGGCAGAAAGACTAATCTTACTATTACAAAAATTCGTTGGCAAAAGTAAAAATCTTTTACTTAGGATTACTCTAAATAGACTATCAAAAGAATATATTAGAATTTGTAGATGAACAAAATTCTATTAAGGTGGCATCTAGATTTCAATCTTAACTACCATTGAAGTTCAATTTTCATATTTCAACCTTTCTTTTGAAACCATTAGCTGACATATCAAAACCGCTCCACGCAAGCGGCATGTGTGATGAAATCAAGGCAAAATTGCTGAGGTTGTATGTTTTACCTCATTTCTATGGTAAGGGAGTAGCTAGCGTCTGGCTTTATAGTAAGCCCATCGTTGAAGATTGGAAAATAGGCTTTATTCTTTTCACACCGCGTGCTTCAGTAGGAAGCCTCTGTCCTTGTCATCATTATTAACCTGCCATGCTGATGAGCAGTGGCTCTCCGGTCGCGTCTTCGCCAGGCGCCGGAGGCTCGGAGCGGAGTTGCTTCAGTTCAGCCACCGTCCACGGCACTGGCAGTCCGGCGCTGCAGGTCCACAAGTGCGGAGCGTGGACCATGGAGGGACAGGCCGTGGTGGTGGCGCCTTCTACGCGCGCGAATCCTTCGCCTTCTGCGCTGATTAGTGTAGCAGCCGGTTTTAACAATAAAACCAGATACACACCATATGTAAGTCTAAAAAATTAAATCTCACATATAGCTATAAATAAGGATAATATCAATAGACAATACTCAAATACATAGCGTATTAGAATAAAGATTATAACATCAGAGTATAGACAGCGGAAAGACAACTCCGATCTTCAGGCGAAGACTCCAAATCCACGGGGACAACTGACTGGTTGACCACAAGCCTAAGTCCTTCAAACTCTAGTAATCTGGTACCTATCCGGGATTTTTATCCAAATAATTGAAAAATAAAACAAGCGTAAGTACATGTCGTACTCAACAAATATAATATGGGGTTCATGAGGCTCAAAAGGCTGACACGGGTTTAACTGCGATTACCTTTTAATGGTCACAATTTTAGCATAGGAGTAGCAACAAATTTATCTCAAGCCCATATAAACACATGATCAGGTAAACATGAATAATGAATAACATAAACAATTAATTATTAGGGAGCATCTTTATTATCAGTGTTCATCATCATTAACCATTAATGATCATCTATTCCATATGAGTTCCATGGCCGCTCATGACCATGAGCACGGCTGATATACCAGTTTTACACTCTGCAGAGGTTGCACACTTTTACTGTGAGTCGTGATTTACCATTTCGCCCGAGGCGGCCACCTCTTGACCCACTACCAAGGAAATTCGGCATGATTCACTATGAAGCCTTTCAAAGATTCGTCTAACAAGTTAGGGCCATTAGATTCACTCGGCAAACAGATATAGAGCCCCCTTTCCGATGGCACATTGACGCGCAGCCTATACTCAAGGGGACAGAAGCCGCACTATACCCGATTCGGCAAGCCATTCTTACGCCAATAAAGGTAACCACTAACAAGCTAGAAAAGGTCCTTATACTGAGCTAAAGCCAGAGCCATATAGCCCTCACAGCTGTACTGTAAGTCCTGAATGATCACTTACAGATAAGTCCTTAGGGAGAGGAATCTAGAGCACCATAAAGCAGCCCAATGCTCTAGCCCCCTTGTTCCATGTTGCTAAAATCATCTTTTAGTGTTTATTGCATATACCATTAGTCAAGTTATAGGATCATGGTTGTAGTTGAGCACTAGCATCTTACTACCCAATGCAATAACCCAAAGGTATAAAGGTACATGGTACAAAGTACTAGAAAGTCCTTAGTGACAGTCAAGTTAGACACATGCAGTATGAGTTAAATGATTAAAGGTGTATATGACAACAAGGAAGATCCCATTCTATACTTGCCTTAAACACCGATCCTTCGGTAAGCTTTAATCTTCAACATTCTTCTTCTTCTTCTTCTTGATTACCACGTATATCTCACCGACTGGACGAAATAATAAAGCACCACACAAGCATCCATGTAATCATACACGAGGCAAACAATAGATCTAAATTAGAACAGTACGCCAAACATAAAATCAAGATGAAAAGTTTGTAAAACGAATCTACGTCTTGCTACAAACACACAGACGCGAAAAGTATGCTAATCGAAGCTACGGTTGAAAAGATACTACTTACGAGAGATCTACTCATAAAACCATTAGCTTCGTGTGTTTTAATTATATAAAAACATATATAAGATATTTTATAGATAAAATAAATGAAGTCAGATTTAGATTTAAAATATAATATTAAAGTAAAATAAATCATATTTTATTTATAAAACCTAGTTGTATAATTGTTATTCAAGATATGATTTAAACCATGAAATTTTAGAAATAGTAATATGGTAAACACTGTTACTAACACGTAGATCTCATCGCTATGAATCTAACACAACTTGAATGGGTCAAAATGGATCTAAAACGCAGAAGATATGATTTAAACAAGATTTCCTTTAATCGAATAATAGATTAAAACTAACCTCAAATTTTAAAAGTTGAAAACATACTTAATAGTAGATGAACATGTAGATTATGAAATTACGAATCTAACGCAATTTGAACGGGTCAAATCGGAGTTAAAACGGAGAAGTTATGACAAACAAAATCAGTGGCAAATCTGTAAATAAGTGAAAATGTATTTTTGAAGTCAACCAAACAAAATACGCTTTTTAAAAGAAGAGGCGTATTCTGCGGATTACACTTTGGACCGCGGGTTCTATTATTGAAAAACGTAGGGACTCTTTAGCAAGATGGCCACGTGAAGGGGTATCTTCTAATCTGGGCCATTGATCTAAAAACGGACGGCTCAGGATGATGTGTATTTCTATTGTATTTCAGGGTTCGTTTTTGTAAAGGAAAACGGCCACAAATAGAGCATGACGTGGGAGATGATGTCATCAAGCTAGCTAGCAGATTGGAACAACGCAATGCATGCATGGCTCATGGCCGGTGGTGCCATGGCCGGTGATGACTAGAGCTCGCCGGAGCTCGGTAAAAACAGCGCAGAGGCCATGGTTAACCAAACTAAGAGCACGGAGACAAAGCGAAGGACAGCGTGCTCACCTAGGTGTTCATCATGGGCGGAGAAGGCTTGGCGGCGTCGCGGGGCTCGAAGAGGAGGACGATGGCTTGCCTATACCCGAAGCTCGGCACCAACTCGTGGACGTCGGCACATCAGCGAACGATGTCTTCCGTGGCGGCGGGCGGGCATGCTCTGCTCGGTGAGATCCGAACGCGGCGGCGCAGATGGATGCGGAGGGGTCGCGGAGCTTTGTAAGAAGCTTGATGTCGGGGACCTAATACCGGGGTACC